ACAAAAAAAAAAAAAAAAAAAAAAAAAAGAATTCAGAAAAAGTTTGCAAATGGGCACATGCTCATGTAGTAATGCCTGTAATCCCACTTCTGTAATCCCAGCTACTCCAGAGGCTGAGGTGGGAGGGTAATGAGACCAGCCTCAAATAGGGAGGCCCTGGGTTCCTAGGAATTTAGTGGTAAAGCAGGCACAAAGGCCCTAGGTTTAATCTCCACTACCAAAAAAAATGTGTACATGGATTTTTTTGTTAAAACAGCCAAACAGAGAGCTACATGAGCATGCCACTAATGGAGAAAGGGTTTATTTTCTTAAAACCAGTGTTTCCACCACCCATCTCCATTTGATAGGTTAAAACAACTATTGGTCAGGTACAGTGGTACCCACCTGTAATCTCAGCTTACTCAAACACAAATGTCTGCACTTTGAGGCCATCTGTGGCAATTTAGTGAGGTCCTGTCTCAAAGATTTAACGGGCTGGGATAATTTTGTGACTCAGTCCACAGTACTACAAAAACAAACCATTGGAAATTTAGCTTAAAAACAAAAGTACATACATGGTGTACATGTACCAGTTACTTTATGTATAATAAATGGGAAAGCTGGGAAAACCTGGGGGAATAGCTTACTTTGTGTGCAGCCTTGGATTTAATCCCCGCCCCCCAAAGTAAAAGAAAAATGAAAGAATACGTTGTGTAGTAGTTAGAGTATAGAACACAATTTACAGTTTTCTGATAATATATTCCTAGTATGTAAATCAGGTTTGGAGTAAAGTAGCACATCTAGAGCATACGAATTTTAAAATTATGACTTTGTCTTCCATTTCCAGCTGTGCCGTCTGTGTGTCTGTTTCATTGACTGGCTGGCTGTCAGACTGGAGACTAATAGGCCTTGCTGACACACTTGGCATTTACTCTAGGCTTGTGCAGGTTTTTACTAAGGAGTGTACATCCCCTCTCTATTTCGGAGTGCTGGGGTGGAACCCAGGGTCTGCCACTGAGCTACTCTCCCCAGCCCACAGGTTGATTTTATTCTCAGTGTGACATTTTCCATTGTTGTGGTTTAGGTAAGGTTTTGATTTGGGGGCACTGTTGTAGCACAGATGGCTCCCAACTTTATATTTCACTTGAGTTTTTCAGCTTCACAAAGCAAAAATAGTACATACTCAGTAGAATGCTTCCAGTTTTGAACTTTGAATTTTTCTCTTGGCTAGCATTGTGTAGCAGAAACTCTTCTTGTGTTGTTGGGCGGCACCAGAGAGCCGCAGCTTGCAGTCAGCTGCCTGAGCAGGAAGGGAGAAAAGTGATACTGTAGTCTACGGTAGTGGTCACCATCAGTACCTGCAGTTCCAGGACTGCTCCGAGCCCTGGGGGATACCAAAATCTGAGGATGGTCATGTCCCTTAAATGAAATGGTATAGTGTACACACACCTCCCACGAACTTCTGTGTCACTTTCACAGTATAATGTAAATGCTACACTGTTAGGCTGTGATAGCTTAAGGAGTAGTGACAAGGGAAACATTATGTACTGTGTACAGATGCATCCCCCTTTATTTTTTTCTCAGTACTGGGAATTGAATCCAGGACCTTCATACTCAGCCATCCCCCAGCCCTTTTTTATTTTGAGACAGGGTCTAAGTTGCCCAGGCTGAGCTTGAACTTTAGATCCTCCTGCTTCAGCCTTCCAGAGTGCTGGGATTATACCACCAATCCTGGCCCCAAATAAACTTTTTTTTGTTTTGTTTTTTTGAGACAGGGTCTCACTATGTAGTTGAGACTGACCTGGAACTCCCTATGTAGCTCAGGCTGGTCTTGAACTCACAGCGATCCTCCTGCCTCAGCCTCCCGAGTGCTGGGATTACAGGCGTGCACCACCACGCCTGGCCCCAAATAGTTTTGATTCACATAAATTTGTGGATGTGGGGCCCACTGATACAGAGAGTGACTACTGTGTTGATAAATTATGATGGATGATATTCAGCAGGTTAGATGTATTAAATGTTTTTTTAAATTAGCTTAAGCCATATTGACTCATTTTAAGCTTTTCTTAAAACTTAAATTTCTTCCACATTTCTAATTAGTGCATATTGGTTATAAAGATTAGTGGGTTTTGTTTTGACAGATTTATACATGCATATAACATTTTAATCATCCTTTCCATTTTCCCCCTTGCCTTACCCCCTTCCCTTAGTTCACATTTGTGGGGAGTTTCAACTGTAAATGTATTTTTAGATTCCACATGTTAGGGCAAATATAAATTGTTTGAGTCTGGCTTATTTTGTTCAGCATGACAATTTCCAGATCCATCCATTTTTCTGCTAATTCCAAAATTTTGTTTTTTTATGGCTGAATAATACTCCATTATCTTTGTATACATTTTTTCTTGATCTCTTCATCTTAGTAGCCACCTTAGCTGGTTCCATAGCTTGACTATTGCATATTCTGTTGCATATTGTGCCAGAGGAAACACAGGTGTGCATGTTGACTTTAATTCCTTATGGTATATAACCAAGGAGTAATTTAGCTGAGTCAAATGGTAGCTCTTGTTTTGAGGCGCCTTCACACTGAGGTGAGATGAAATTTTCAGTGTTGTTTGATTTGCCTTTCGCTGGTAGCTAAACTTGTTGAGCATACCATCATAGACTTCCTGGCCCCTTGTACTTCTTTTGAGAAGTGTATGTTCATTTCTTTTGTCCATTTATTAACTGGGCTTTCAAAACTCTCTCTCTCTCTCTCTCTCTCTCTCTCTCTTTCTCTCTTTCTTTCTTTCTTTTCAGCTTTAATTGAGTTTATTGGTACGTTTTAGGGATACGGTACAGTTACATTCATTGTTGGGATCTTGTACCTCTACATGACAGGTCTTGGTTCTCATTTTTTCCCCTTGTCCCTGTATTTTATTTTTGAGGCAGGGTCTCACTGTGTAGTGGAGACTGACCTGGAACTCACTATGTAGCCCAGGCTGGTCTCTCACAGTGATCCTCCTGCCTCAGCCTCCCAAGTGCTGGGATTACAGGTGTGTACTACCAGTTTATTTGATTTTTTTTTTCTTTTTTTTTTTTTCGGTGTGAAGTTTGTTATGCTCATTGGTTCTGTCACCTGCCTTGCAAGTAAGTTCAAGGACCCGAGTTCAATTCCTGGTAAAAAAAAAAAAAAAAAGTAGCTGGTAAAGATTGTCTGCCATTCTGTGGGCTGTCTCTTCACTCTGTTGGTTTTCCTTGCCATTCAGACTTTATCCTGTTTTTTAAAAAAAAAAAATGTAAATACACAAAGTTTAGAGCCCAGGATTTAGCTCAGTGGTGCCACCGCCTGCCTCGCAAGCACAAGGACCCAAGTTCGATTCCCAGTACCAAAAAAAAAAAAAAAATGTAAATACAGATTTTGTCCTGTTTATTAATTCTTGCTGTTACTTCCCATTATTGGAGTCCTAATTGGGAAGTGTTTGCACGATTCTGTACTTGGTCATCTTGTGTTTTGTTTTAGCAGTTTCAAAGTTTCAGGTCTTATACCTAGATCTTTGATCTATTTATTTTTGTCTTTGGTGAGAAACAGGGATCTAATTTCAGACGGCTGCAAGTGGCTATCCACTTGCAGCATCATTTACTGAAGAGGCTGTCTTTTCTCCAACAAATACTTTTGGCTCCTTTGTCCAGAATCAAATGGCTGTAGTCAAATGAATTTGCTTTTTTTCCCCTCTATTCTGTTCCATTGGTTTCCTCTGTGTCTATTTTTGTCCCAATACCATTGCTGTTTTTGTTATTATGGCTTCGTAATACAATTTTAAAGCAGGTATTGTGATGCTTCCAGCCTTGCTGGCTATTTCGGGTCTTTTGTGTGGGTCTTGATGAATTTTAGAATTGTCCTTTTCTAGTTCTGTGCAGAATTTCATCATTGGTATTTTGATGGGGGGGATTGCATGGAGTCTGAATTGCTTTTGGTAGTATAGCCATTTAACAATATTCTGCCAATCTGTGAACATGAGAGGTCTTTCCAGCTTCTGGTGTCTTCAATGTTCTGAAATTTTCATTGTAGAGACTTTAAGCCTTCTTAGTTACAGAGATCCCTAGGTTCTTTTCTTTCTTTTTCTTTTTCTTTTTCTTTTTCTTTTTCTTTTTCTTTTTCTTTTTCTTTTTCTTTTTCTTTTTCTTTTTCTTTTTCTTTTTCTTTTTCTTTTTCTTTTTCTTTTTCTTTTTCTTTTTCTTTTTCTTTTTCTTTTTCTTTTTCTTTTTCTTTTTCTTTTTTTTGAAGTTACTGTGAATGGATTACATGCAGTTTTGACAGCAACTGCAGTATTTTCAATTTACAGCCCCATTAAAACCCCACCGTAAGTTGAGAATCATCTTTATTTCTTAAGGTGGAAACTGACAACTGAAGAAACTTCCTGTTTGAGACAGAAACTTGCTAGTTAGCTCAGGTTAGCCTGTCTTTGGTAGCATAGGCTGATCTCAAATTCAAGCTTCCCAAATGCTGGGTTATAGGCATGTCCCACCACATTCAGCTCTTTCCTTTAACTTTTTTTGGGTGGGGGTTGAGACAGGGTCTCACTATATAGTTGAGACTGACCTGGTTGAGACTGACTGTGTAGACCAGGCTGGTCTCAAACTCACAGCGATCCTCCTGCCTCTGCCTCACAAGTGTGCCACCATGCCCAGTGAGCTCTTTCCTTTTTTTAAAGCACCGGACTACTGGGTGCGGTGGTGCATGCTTATAATCCTAGCACTCGGAAGGCTGAGGCAGGAGAATCACCAAGAGTTCAAGGCAGCTTCGGATATAAAGTGAGATCTGAGAAGGCGAAATGGGCTGGGGATGTAGCTCAGTGGCACCGCACCTGCCTGGCAAGTACAAGGTCCTGAGTTCAATTCCCAGTACTGGGGAAGGAAAAAAACAAACAGGAAAAAAAGCTACTAGCTAAAGAACACTATGTTTTGTTCTCGGGGCAGGTTTAGGTTTTCATTTGAAAAACTTAAGTTTGTTGCTTGTAAGGAGGCCAACTTGCCTTATTAGTGATACATTTTACATTATAATCAACTATGAATTCTCTGCATCTGCTTTCCAGGGGAAGTCGTTCTTGGTGTGTCTGTCCTGTCTCAATTTTAATGAATTTTCTGTAGAAAAGTGTTGTGCTTCATGGTAGTCAGTTTATGATTTTCATTACATAAACTGTGTGCATATATATTTATTTATTTGGTACCAGGGATCAAATTTGGGTTCTTGCACTTGCCAGGCAGAGGCAGCTCCACTGAGCTAAATTCATGGCCCTAAATGTTTTCTTGAGTATAATTTCTAGGCACAGTAAATATTTTTCAGTGTGTATTTGGACTGTCATTTATAACATCATATTTTTTTTTCTCATGTTCCTGATTCTCTACTTCTCTTCCCCACTCCAGAGCACACACATTCTCTTTATAGGTTTGTATAAGTCACTGAGCTAAATCCCTAGTTTAGTTTTTTTTATTTGGTACTGGGGATTGAACTCAGGACCTTGTGTTTGCAAGGCAGGTGGTGGCACCACTGAGCTACATCTGCGGCCCTTCTCTTGATACTTTTAAGTACTGCTTTTCACCTGTCATTAGCTCAGTGGCTGTGTGCAGTACAGCTGGTCTGGTGTGGCCTCATTTACTTGGAGTTACACAGATGCTGTGGCTTGCTGGTGACTGAGCTGCTGCTATGTTGGTGCTCCACATCTGACAGTTTTTACAGTGTGAAAATAAAAATGGGACAGTGGATCTGTTGCAGGCATTTTTTTCCCCTTACAGTACAGGGGATTGAAATCAGGAACCAGGGGTTTTCTGCACCTGAGCTACATTACCAGCTCTTTATTTTGAGACAGGGTCTTGATAAATTACCTAGGTGGCCTCAAACTTGTACTTTTCATTCTTCAATCTGCCAAGTAACTGAGATTACTACACCCATCATGCAAGCTTTTATTTATTCATTTTTTTAATGATGCCGGGGATTGAATCTAGGCCCTTATGCATACTTATCAAGCACTTTTGATTATTTTTCTGTTTTTGAGTAAAGGGCCCCACTATGTAGTTAAAGTTGGCCTTGTGGTGCTCCTCCTGCCTCAGACTGCTGGTTGCTGGGATTGCTGGCCTGTGCCACAACACTTGGCTCCAAAGTTTCAAATTTTTTAATAATTTAAATAATTTTAGATTTGTAAAGAATTTACAGAGTAAATACAGAACTCCTGTGTAACCCTTACCTATTTTCCACATTTATCAAATCTAAAACCATCGTTGCTACATAAATATTAATAAATTCCAAACTTTACTATTTCTTCCACTAGTATCCTTTGTTCTGGATTCAGTCCAGTTTACCACATTGCATGCATGCCTTTTCTTGTGTGGTTGGGGATTGAACCCAGGACCTAGTACATGCTGGCCAAGTGCTGTCCCACTGAGCATAGAGCATCACATCCCCTAGATACACTTACCAAAAGTGCAAATAGTTCAGCTAGAGTCACATGGTAATAAATTTTTTGGTAATTATTTAATGTTTGAAAGAGTTGCTAAATATTGCTTCTGACGTTTCCTGTTACTGAGTTACCGAATGTGGATATATGCTATAATGTGTGACTCAAAAATTCAAAAAATTCTAATTTTTTTTCAGAAAATAATGTTGAGTTTCCACGAAGAACAGGAAGTATTGCCGGAAACATTCCTTGCCAATTTCCCTTCTCTGATAAAGATGGATATTCACAAAAAAGTAACTGATCCAAGTGTGGCTAAAAGCATGATGGCTTGCCTCCTGTCTTCCTTGAAGGCTAATGGTGAGTATGTATTTATGGAGTTGGCATTGTTTGAGCCAGGAAAGGGTAGGGACTGTATTTTGGCTGAAAAAAAGCAAAGAAGTAAATTATGGTTTAGATGTGTGTGTGTGTGTGTGTGAGTCTCTTACACAGTAAGAGGCTGCCTTCAAACTTTGGCCTTAAGTGATTTTTCTTTGCCCAACTTATGTATGTCTTGTTTTCTGAATTATTAGTGTTGTAAGAATTAGTGTTGTAAGAATTATTAGTGTTGTAAGAATTAGTGTTGTAAGAATTTAATGTGTATAAATTATTTAAAAATGCTCTGATTAGGTGTGGGGCTGCACGCCTTTATCCCCAGCTTCTTGGGAGGCTGAGGCAGAAGAATTGCAAGTTAAGAGGCCAGCTTGGGCAATTTAAGTTGTGGGGGTATGGGTAGTTTTTAGTGCTCCCTTCTCTCAAGAGGTAGAAAACTCAAGAAATAGGTGGGGGGTGGGGGAAAGAAAGAAAGAGTGAGTCCAGGAAGAAACTTCTTTCAGGAATGTAATATTTAAGAGTTTATCTGAACTCAGTCTTCAAAAATACTTTGCTTTCATACTAGTGCTATAAAAACCCTTTCTATAAAGGGACAGATAGTAAATATTTCATTCTTTAAGGTCTACATATGGTCTTCTTAACATGTTCTCTTTTTAAACAACCTTTTAAAAATGTTACAAAAATTTTTTTTTTACATTCTCAGGCCCACAAAACTAAGTAGTTTGCCAAGCCTTTATTAGAATTTACTGTTGGATCTTTCCTCATTTAAGTTGTATTTCCTTTGATAGAATAATTTAAATAACTTTTTTGGGGATTGAACTCGGATCCTTGCGCTTGCAAGGCAGGCCACCGAACCGCTGAGCTAAATCCCCAGCCCCAGTAATTCAAATAACTTTAAAGGAAAGATTTCTTTTTCTTTTCTTTTTTTTTCCCCCCTTTTTGTTTTTGCTTTGGGATTGAACTCAGAGCCTTCCTTTTTTTTTTTTTTTTTTTTTAATGTTTTGAGACAGGGTCTCGCCAGACCTGGACTGGAACGTGTAATCCTCCTGCATCAGCTTTCCAGAATTCTGGGATTACAGCTGTGTGCCACCATGCCCAACTAGAAAAGATAACTTGAGGGGAAGAGGTGAGACAGGGTTTTTGCTTATAGTTCATGCTGGCTTTGAACTCACTGTGTAGCCCAGGCTGGCCTTGAACTTGCTGCATACTCCTCCTACCTCAGCCTCCTGAGGGCTGGGGTTACAGGTGTGCTCTACCACACCTGGCTAGAAAAGATAATTCTTAACGTCGTGCAGTAATTGGAACCAAATCACAACAAATAAGTGAGATTTGTCTCAGAATATATAACGTTCTGGCTATATGATCTGTGACATAGGCTGTACCCTGTAGGTCACTAAAAAGTACTTTGTATTTTTTTTTTTTAGCAGATATGTGCTTTACCTTGAGTTTTCTTTTTGATTTTTTTCCCCCATTGAGTTTATTGGTACTTTTTAGGTAGTATAGTTAAATTCATCATTGGGATTTTGTACCTTTATATGACAAGTCTTGGTTTTATTTTTTACCTTGAGGGTTTTTTTTTGTTTGTTTGTTTTGTTTTTGGATTTTGAGACAGGGTCTCACTATATAGTTGAGACTGACCTGAAACTCACTGTGTAGCCCACGCTGGTCTCGAACTCACAGCAATACTTCTGCCTCAGCCTCCCGAGTGCTGGAATTACAGGTGTGCGCCACCACGCCCAGGTACCTTGAGTTTGCTTGTACCTTCTTCCCCAAAAGATTTTCTTTTGGGGGAAGAATTTCAATCATTTTGAATTTTTTTCATTGTTGAATATTAAGAATTTTTTAAATTGGGGCATAAAATTTAAAGACAAGGCCCTATTAAATATATTAAAATTATTCATAGTTATAATTCAAATTGACATTTATGTTTTGAATGTTTTTATTTGTAGGTTCCCGGGGGGCTTTCTGTGAAGTGAGACCAGATGATAAAAGAATTCTGGAGTTTTACAGCAAGTTAGGCTGTTTTGAAATTGCAAAGATGGAAGGATTTCCAAAGGATGTGGTTATACTTGGTCGGAGCCTGTGACATTTGTTGGCCTGTGAACTGTCAGTCTTAACACCATCTGTGGTTGGTAGTTGGGGTCTTCAGACAGCTCAGCATCTGGAGCAGCAACAAATCAGCCAGTTGAAGTAGAAACAGAAGACTGTAAAGATCACCCATCACACTGAAACCGCTGCTGGTTGGAAGAAGATAGTATTGGTGCAAGTCCTGTATAAAACAGATTTGGGTTCCTCTTTGGGTCTTGTGTTTCATCTTGGGTGCAAAGACCTCTTACGTGGGCTTCTATAGGGAGAAGGGTCTTGAATAAATGTAGTCAGCAGTATTTTCTGCATCCAGTGTGGTTGGATTTGTCACCTAAGGAATCACAATGACTTGGTTTAATAAATGTCTCATTCTTTGTAGACATGACAGTGATGAAAGACTCAGACTTCAGGTTGGATGTTCCAAGTAGTTTAAGCTAAATAAATGTTTTCAATTTGGGGCAATTTGTTTCTTTTTGTAAAGCCATGGCCAGCTGTCTACTGTCGCAACCATTGGCTTGGGCATGTTGTGCTTTGTAGGGACAGTGCAGGTGTTTTTAGCAAAAGCCTAAAATTGATAAATTTGTAAATTTCTGTGTATATAAACTAGCTGTAACCTGCTTATCTTTTGTTGCCCATATTTGTAATTTTTTTCTTTATAAAATGAAAAGGTGTTGGTTCAGGATGGCACTTTGAATAATGTAAATTAGAGGAAGGTAGGTTTTTTTCTTTTTTTCTCTCCTTCTTGAGAAGCTTTATTTTTTAATGTGTCCCAACATTAGGGATATAGGCCATGACCATTTTGGGTACGAGAGCCTAACTTCATAGGACTCAATCTGTTGCAAAGTGAAGTTGCTTCTGAAAATTAACTTCCATAGCAGATCAGTGTGAAGTGTTAGTCTGGACATTGTCAGGTAGGGTACGGAACTGGCTGGTCTCATTTGCTCTTGGATCAGGTGTCCTTTAATCTCAACACCTGTTACTACTGGTTTAACTAAATCAGTCTTTAGTTCTTGCATGTTTTATCTAATTTTTGAAAGGATGAGCACACTAGGTTACCCATTTCTTCTTCAATCACAGATTCTGAAAGCTTCATATATTTTAATTTAGATTTGGTGTTTTTAAGGGTTTTGAGCATGAGGCTAGTGGGTAATCTGCAGGATTCATTTTTTTCATCATGGCTGGCTGACTTCTCCCTAGATTTGTATCAGTGTATTGTTATCTTGCTACAGTTTTGCATCATCTGTCTTTGAGTTGTGTGAAGAACTAGAAGGAAAATCAAACTGTTTTCCTTTGTAGAACTCCACTAGTGTGGACTTTGAGACAGTCTTAGAGCAATGTACCTAGTGACTTTCAAGGTCTATGAGTGTGGGGAGTGGGTGAGGAGAAAGGAGAACTCGTGGTTCTTAGAAGTCTTTAAACTGGTGGGATGTGGTGTGTTGTAAAGCTGAAACCATGTTTGCATTTTTGAGGGCTGAGGTGAAGGAAAGATCCCTACTAGGTAATGTTTAAGACAGTTGGATGTTACTGTTTTCTTTTTTAATATATCTCAAGTACTAGTAGACTACTTATCACAGGATTATTTTATCTGGAGGATTTTGGGGTCGATATCATGTGGAATCAGGATTTTTAAACAAGTTCCTTTTGGTTTTATCTTGGCTTTTAATTACTTTGACTGGTCTTCTGATCACATATATTAAAATGTGGAACAGATGTCCAGGTCTGTACTTATATCTTCATCACTCTAGGATTGTAAAGTGCTATGCTGTCTTCCATGGTTGAGTATTTATTAAGGTTGGAATGACATTTCATTGTTTAGATCACAGCTCAGTTCCTGTAGAATACGAACTGTAAAACTATCCGAAGACCATGTAAAGAGGCAAAATAAAACTTGAAGTGAATGTGTATGGTGTTGTACTGCGTGCATCTGCTTCCAGTCTACCCTCTACATTTTCTCTGGTCTCTAAGCCTCCCCTGTGAAGTTAGAGTAGATCTTGAAGGCAGTTCTCCCCTACTCCTACCCCCAGTAAAGATACTTCTTCCGGATTTCCTCAAGGCCAGGCAAAAGCTAAGAAAAACAGACTAGTTTTTAGCTAAGCTTCCCTTTTCAGGTTACAACCTGCGACTAAAATAGGGCAGTCACACTGAAAACTTGTCATCTAACGGAGTGCGGTTTGCCTGATTCTGTAGTTAGAAGCGGACAGATTAGGGAAAAAAACCTAAATGGTGGGAAATATAAAAGATTTTAAAACACAAGAATGTTCTTAGAAGGGCTGATTGGGAATTAGGGGCCCAAAAGATCTGCCAGCAGCAGCAGTTGAGTCCCACAGTCCTAGCTGTCTGCAAGCGCCAGACCCTGCCCTCTGAAGGCTGACGAAGATGCACCCTGTGTGTTGGTGCGGGGTCAGGATCATTGACGCCAGAAAGCAGGTGCGGGGAAGAGCGTGGAGCCCAAAACCTGCTGCAGGCCCCACAGAGGCAAACCCGGCGGAGCACGATTCTTCTTACCAAGCGCAACCTCACTGTGGCCCTTGCTATGACGGGAGAAGGGTGCCAACGGGCGATGGAATAAGGCTACTCTGAGGCCTGTCTTGGAAGACTGGAAGAGGAAATTAAGTACACTTTTGTATTTATACCCCTTTTGACGAGAACGTCCTGGGGCGGAAACTATAGAGGCTGCAATAAGCTGGGGAAAATGTGAACCCACTTGGCCGTGGGATAAAAACGTTAATAATAAGTCCCAATCTACACGGCTCTTTTTGGTGGTGGTTGTTAGTACGGGGGCTCAAACTCAGGACCTTGCGCGGGCGAGGCAGGCTTGGTGCGACTGAGCCGCCCCCCCACCCCAGACCTCCGCCGTCTTCCAGAAACCGTGTGGGCCCCAGGGGCGGTCCCTTTAAGGGGCGGGGCCGGAAGCTGCCCCGGTTCGGCGCGGGGGCG